ACTCTGCATATAGGTTAAATAAGCACAGTGACAATATACAGCCTTGATGTACTCCTTTCCCAATTTGGAACCAGTTTGTTAGAACCATGTCCAGTTCTAACTATTGCTTCTTGGCTTGCATACAGATTTCTCAGGAAGCAGGTAAAGTGGTCTGGTATTCGGATATTTTTAAAAACTTTCCATAGTTTGTTGTGATCCACACAGTCAGAGGCTTTAGCAGAGGTAGATGTTTTTCTGGAACTCTCTTGCTTTTTCAATCATCCAATGTATGTTGGCAATTTGATCTCTGGTTCCTCTGTCTTTTCTAAATTCAGCTTGAACATCTGGAAGTTCATGGTTCACGTACTATTGAAACCTAGCTTGGAGAATTTTGAGCATTACTTTGCTAGCATGTGAGATGAGTGCAATTGTGGGGTAATTTGAACATTCTTTGGCATTGGAATGAAAACTGACCTTTTCCAGTCCTGTGGCCACGGCTGAGTTTTCCAAATTTGCTGGCATGTTGAGTGCAGCACTTTCACAGCATCATCTTTTAGGATTTGAAATAGCTCAACTGGAATTCCATCACTTCCACTAGTTTTGTTCATAATGATGCTTCCTAAGGCCCACTTCACTTTGCATTCCAGGATGTCTGGCTCAAGGTGGGTGATCACACCATCATGGTTATCTAGATCATGAAGATCTTTTTTGTATAGTTGCATGTATTCTTGCCAGCTCTTCTTAATATCTTCTGCTTCTGTTGGGTCCATACCATTTCTGTCCTTTATTGTGCCCATTTTTTATGAAATGTTCCCTTGGTATCACTAATTTTCCTGAAGCGTTCTCTAGTCTTTCCCATTCTATTGTTTTCCTCTATTTCTTTACATTGAGCACTGAGGAAGCCTTTTTTATCTCTTCGTGTTATTCTTTGGAACTCTGCATTCAAATAGCTGTATCTTTCCTTTTCTCCTTTGCCTTTCACTTCTCTTCTTTCCTCAGCTATTTGTAAGGCCTCCTCAGACATCCATTTTGCCTTTTTGCATTTCTTTTCTTGGAGTTGGTCTTGATCACTGCTTCCTGTATAGTGTCACGAACCTCCACCCATAGTTCTTCAGGCACTCTGTCTAATCCTAGATCTAATCTAGATCTAATCCTAATTGAGATCTAATTCTCAATTTTAAGTGACGTTAAACTCATATTGGTTTTCCCAGTAGCTCAGCAGTGAAGAATCCACCTGCAATGCAGGAGACTTGGGTTCAATCCCTGGGTCAGGAAGATTCCCTGGAGGAGGAAATGGCAACCCACTCCAGTATTCTTGTCTGGAAAATTCCATAGGGTTGCAAAGAGTCAGAGACAACAGGGCACGCATGCATGCAAAGTCAATACTGGTAGATAGAGCTCACACCAAAAGCTCTTTGGGGGTCTTCAATAATTGTTAAAATTGTAAAGTAATCTTGAGGCCAGAAAATTTCACAACTACTGGTAGAGATAAACAGCCACTGCACCCTGTAGCCTTGACACCCCTGCATGATAGCAGAGCAGCGTCATGGATTTTCAAACATGAACCACGGCTGCAGGCCACGAAGAAAGTTCCCATGGTTACCCTGTGGTGCCTTCCTTACAGCATTTCCACAGCCTCCCTAGTGACCAATTAATTACTAATGTGTGTGTGTGTCTGTCTGTCTGTGTATGACAGGGATGGAGGAGAAATACGGTGGGAGAGAGAGAGTGTGATACCCCAGAACAGTATCTTACTCATTTTCTAATTCCCCCCAAGTGGCCAGACTGGCACATAATTAGAGTAAATCAGGAAATATTTTGGAATTGAGTAACTAACTTTTGGTGTGTCTGTTGGTGCCAAAGAGGTTTGTGTTTCCATTTGAAAAGATTTCCTCCAAACCATATAAAACTTGGCCAAAAAAAAAAGTGAAGTCGCTTCAGTTCAGTTGCTCAGTCGTATCTGACTCTTTGTGACCCCATGGACTGCAACATTCCAGGCCTCCCTGTCCATCACCAATTCCCAAAGTTTACCCAAACTCATGTCCATTGAGTTGGTGATGCCATCCAACCATCTCTTCTTCTGTCGTCCCCTTCTCCTCCTGCCTTCAATCTTTCCCAGCATCAGCGTCTTTTCAAATGAGTTAGCTCTTCACATCAGGTGGCCACAGTATTGGGAGTTTCAGCTTTAGCATCAGTCCTTCCAATGAATACTCAGGACTGATCTCCTTTAGGATGGACTGGTTGGATCTCCTTGCAGTCCAAGGAACTCTCAAGAGTCTTCTCCAACACCACAGTTCAGAAGCATCAATTCTTCGGCACTCAGCTTTCTTTATAGTCCAACTCTCACATCCATACACCACTATTGGAAAAACCATAGTCTTGACTAGACGGACCTTTGTTGGCAAAGTAATGTCTCTGCTTTTTAATATGCTCTCTAGGTTGGTCATAACTTTCCTTCCAAAGAGTAAGCATCTTTTAATTTCATGGCTGCAGCCACCATCTGCAATGATTTTGGAGCCCCAAAAAATAAATTCAGCCACTGTTTCCACTGTTTCCCCATCTCTAGTCGTGCCCAACTCTTTGCGACCCCATGGACCTACCAGGCTCCTCTGACCATGGGATTTTCCAGGCAAGAACACTGGAGTAGGATGCCATTTCCTTCTTCAGGGGATCTTCCCGACCCAGGGATCAAACCCGGGTCTCCTGAATTGCAGGCAGATGCTTTACCATCTGAGCAACCAGGGAAGCTAAAACCTGGCTAAAATAACTTTAAACAATTTTCTGCTTCAAAAAGAGAGCCCTGCCCCTCCAGAACCCTTGCCCAGTGGCATCTCAGGGGGTGCCAGGTCCTTTCACCCAAGCTCTGGAGTGAGGCCTGGAGGTGTACCACACAGCAGCTCCAGGAATCATGCAGACTTGGGATCAGCCTGGCTTCTCCTCTTTCGAGCTGTGCTACCATCCCACAGGTTCCCTCAGCTTGAGAGTCAGCTCCTAGAAAATAGGCATCCTGGAGGACCTACTCACAGGTGTGCTGCAGGGACGAGATGAAACATGGCACGGATAGTCCCTACTCAGGGCCCAGCGGCAGAGACAGCCCATGAGGTACAGACTGTCAGTAACAGCCTCGAGCTCATTTCCAAGAAATTTGGAGTGATTTTGGAATGGCACAGAAAGATTAAATCATCACATTTTTCCAATGAGTACTACTCTCTACATAAAATTTCTGTTTTTTAAAAAGTCCCCATGTGGTCATCTCTCCATTCCCTCGCTCATCTAACACATATAGAGCACACACTCTTGAGTAGGTAGACTAGATGCTAAGTCTACCTTAGCACCTCCCAGAGCCCACAGCCTCTCCCCCCCTTCCTGAGGGAGATAGACATGCAGATCTCACAGCACAGATCAGCATGGCAGATACTATAGTGACAGTATTCAGAGCTGACTTGGGGTGGGATTTACTATGTTCAGGGCAAGGCACTTTCCATACATGAGACTGTGAGGCAAGTGCTGTTATTTCCCCTTTACAGAGGGGGAAATTGAGTCATATAGGTTAAGCAACTTGCCAAAGGTCCTATGGCTGATGAATAACAGAGCCTGCACATGAACCCAGGAAATCTGGCTCCAGGACTGATTCTCTTATGCTCCATGTTACAGCCCCTCTTACACATCCTGACCTGTAGTTGCAAGTCAGTCTCACCACTTTCTCAGGAGGCCCTAGTAGGGAGAAGCACGTGGATTTGGGAGCCAAAAGACCAGGGCTTAAATCTTGACTCTTCTGCTTGTCCATGTAACTTCAAGCAAGTTACTTATCTTCTCTGAACCTTAGTGTCTTCATCTAAAAAATGGGCTTGATCATCAGACCAATCTCAGCTTGGTAGGGCCCAATAAAATACTGCAAAGCAATGTAAGTGCTATAGTATAAAGTACAAAGTGAGGAAACTAGATTCTGTTCAGGCTCTGCTGGCTGTATGGCCCTGGAGAAGTTGTTTAACCTCTCTGAGCCTTAGCTGCATCCTCATGTAATGGAGATAATAAAATACATGGAATGAGATTTAAATAAGACAATATGTATGAAAGGAATTAGCACAACTGGAAATAACTGTTTAATACATGTGAGCTCATATTATTATGCCCAAGTGATTGGCAAGCTACAAAGATGGACAATACTACTACTGTAGAGAAGTCAGTCTTTGGCTCTAAGGCAAACCAAGTCCCAAGATACTGCTTTGGGGCAGAGAGACACTGATGACATCATGGTCTTGGTATGCTTCAGTCTTTTTAAAGGACTCTGTGCTCTAGGTTTTTGCAACTCCGTGTGGTCTCAGACCAGCAGCATCAGTTTTAGCTGGGAGCTTGTCAGCAATGCAGAATCTCAGGCCCCACACCAGCCCTCCTGAGTCAGAATCTGCATTTTGACAGAATCCCCTGGTAATTCCTATATACACTCAAGTCTGAGAAACACTGGTGTAGCATGGGGAAAAGAACAGCAACGTGAGTTTTTGGCCAGGGGTGGGAAGGGTTAATGTTTAGTTTGGCTCCTGTCAAGTCACCGGAAACAGAAGGTTCCAGAGATTGAAGTGTATAGACTGATGAGACAGGAAGGCTTCCTTCCTGCCTTGTGTCCTGGCCGGCTGGAGCTCCTGCCCAGGACCTGCGCTGACCCTCGAGCTCAGTGAGGAAGGACCCTGCGCCTGCAGAGCAGAGGGCAGGCTGGGACAAAGAGAGGGTCAGCGCCTCAGCTCAGACTACCTGCGAGTTCAGTCCTCAGGTCAAGCCCCGATGAGGTCTGAGGAGGAGGAGCAGGGAGCAGGGAGGCCGGAAAGACGTCACAGTTAACTGAGCAGGGCTCCCCCAGGGGAGGCTGGTGGCCAGCGCCGGGACAGCTGTGTGAGGGCCTCTGAGGTCTTCGTGCTGCCCTGGGCCCTGTCCTCCGGCCCCTGCTACCCCGGGTCCTGCAGGGTGGGGGTGGGGCCCAGGCCCTGGACGCACCTGTGACTGTGCTCCACGGGCTTCCCCCTCAGTGCTGGAGCAGCTCCTACCCGAGCTCACAGGGCTGCTCAGCCTCCTGGACCACGAGTACCTCAGCGACACCACTCTGGAGAAGAAGATGGCCGTGGCCTCCATCCTGCAGAACCTGCAGCCCCTCCCAGGTCAGCTGTCAGCATGCTGCCCAGAGCTTCTCAGGAACCCTCAGTAACTCCCTAGGGCCTGCTGGCAGGAGGAAGCCTAAACCTCACAGCATGGCGATTAAGCTCTCTTCATGGTCTAACCAGCGTCCCCATCCACTCCAAGCTTTGTCCACCACCGCCCTGGCTGTGCTCCTTGTCCTCCTCCACCCCGAGCCCTCTACAAACTCACACAACACACATGCCACACACACTCATGTACACACCACTACCACACTCACACACACACAACATGCCCTCACATAGACTTCACACAGTAAGAAACACATCTCACACACAACATACCCCACATGCTCCATCACATGCAACACACTCACTTATCACATACACACAGCATATATGCACAACACTCACGCACACTCTGACAGACACATCACATACACATCACACTCTCCTGCACTCAGATGCATGCTCACACACTCCCCCTTGGCTTTATGGGTTGTATACCTGCCCCTCCATCTCCACTCAGGCCCTCTCTCTCTCCCCACAACCTCTCTGCCTCACTGTGTGCTCAGCAGCAAAGCTTCCTCCTCTGCTCCAGCCTTTCCCCAACCTCAAGTGAGCCCACGAGACGGTATGTGTAAATCAAGAGCTCAGGAAACTCTAAAGGGGCTATGTCCTGTCCCATGGGGTTGGAGGGGTCTGAGTGACTTGGGGGGTGGTCACCACTGTCTGAGACTAAGCCTCACTTCCCAGGGACAATGTCCTCGGCCACCCTCACAGGACTGCTGGGGAATGAAAGGGGCAGCAGTTTGCCGACTGGCCCCAGCTGTCCCCAGAGCAGCGCCTCTACTTTGTCCTCTATACTGGGCTCTGTTATTGAGATCCTCAATAACAATGGAAAAAAGGAAACAAAGTTTGAAAGCTTTGGATATAACCTAGGATATGCACATACTTTGCAACCTGAGCGCTGTGTCCTGTGCACGACAGAAGTCTGAGTGGGCGGGGGGGACTAGCAGTCCTCAGTGACAGCAGTCCTCGGTCCCCTCCCTCCTCACTGCTGGCCTGCTCTCCTTCTTCCTCAGCCAAAGAAGTCTCCTACCTGTACGTGAACACAGCGGATCTCCACTCTGGGCCAAGCTTCGTGGAGTCCCTCTTTGAAGAATTTGGTAAGCTACTCTCTCCTGACCTCAGCTAGAATCTGTCCTTCCCCAACATGCATGTCTACCACCTCAGTCTCTAGAAGGGTCCCCTATATATGGGTCATCATTACAAAATTGAGTCACCTCAGAAACGTCCCTTTGCCTCTCTGGGCCCTGCCAGGTCTGAAAGTCTAGTCAAAATCCATAGTTACAGGAAATCATCCCCGAGATTTGAGGAAGGGTAGGGATGAACACACAGGCCGAAGAAGGCTGGCAATAGGGTGTTGTCTCGTCTGCTGCTAACATCCGTCTTAGTAGCAGCTGCCTGGTCTCTGAGTTGAGCAGTCCGGCAGTTCAGCAGAAAACAGAGCTGGGAGGGACTAGCAGAGGCACCTAGAGCATGGGAGCAGCCGAGCCAGGCCGCGTGCAGGGTGTGTACGATCCGTGATCTATCCTGACGGAGAATGGCACTATACAACACAGGGAGAAAGCTGTGGGTCAGATGAGAGGATTCACGGACTGACAGACTTTGGGAAAACACCGTGCCTTCATTAAATAACCCTTGAAAACATCCAAAGCACTGTACCAAATTGAATTATCCCATTTCATTCCCTGATAACACTGGGATTATTGTGACCACTTTATGGATAAGAGGGATGAAGTCACTTGCCCCGGATTACTAATGGAGGAGGTGGTTGGGCTTCTTGACCCCAAATCTAGTCCTCTTCTCACTCCACCATGCTCATCCTCCACCTACTCTGTCCTAATGGCCTGACTCCCCATAGACTGTGACCTGAGCAGCCTTCAAGACATGCCAGAGGACGAGGCGGAGTCCTGCAAAGGAGCCAGTCCTGAGCCAGCCAAGAGTCCATCTCTGAGACACGTGAGTTCTTACACTCTCTGGCCCTTTTTTCCTCTAGAGGAGGTAGGGAAACTCTCAACTCTAATGTTGGGGATCCTCTTGACCATGAGAGATCTACTCTTTCTTCAGTGTGGTGGTTAAGGGCAGAAACAGCACTATGAGAACATTTCAGTGATTCATGATGACATGCTCACTGTGCCAGTGCTGAGCAGGGATAATGTGGTAAACTGACCTGTCCCTTCAGGTCCAAAGGACATGCCCACCCCAACTTCTGATTTCAGGAGCACAGAAGGAGTGATGGGGAAAGCTCTGGATCACAAGATGGGTGGCCTCTGCCTTCCTCCCTTCTGCTGTGTGGCAGATCACTTCCCATCTCTGAGCCTGAGTTTTCACCTATAAAAATGAAGGTCTGGATCACAGACCAAAAATGAAGTTCCCAGCCTTTGGGGCCATGGAATTAGGGCAGGGGGCCCAAATCACATCAAACATTGTCTGTTGACTGCATCGTTCACTATCGTCACCACAGTAAATGGTACCAGTTGTTGACCACTCATCATGTCCTTTCACATTTAGAGACTGCATCCTGCCTTCTAGGAGCTCCTGTCCCCCTTGCCCCCAGGCTCCTCCCTGTCACTCTGCTTGCTCCCCACGCTCTCCTGGTCTTTTGAGTTTCACACACCTCCTCTATCCTCTTTCAGACAGCTGACCTGCCTCCACCGCTCCCCAACAGGCCTCCGCCTGAGGACTACTATGAGGAGGCCCTTCCCCTGGGACCTGGCAAATCCCCTGAGTATATCAGCTCCCACAGTAAGTTCTGGTCCCTGAGGGTTGGGGGTGAAGGGGAGAAGGCTCCTGTCCTGAAACTCCTGTGTGTCCTGCTGGGGCTGGAGCTCCAAGCCTGGCACCATTCAGCCACGCCCACCTACTGGGGAGGAGCGTGGGAGACCCTGGTCTCTCCAGGGACAGCCTGGGTGGGCAGGCCAGTAGGCATGGCCTGGGGGTCAGGGGCTGGGGTTCCAGACCCAGTTCTATGTGACCTCGAACAACCCCCTTCCCCTCTCTGGGCTTCTGTTCCTCTACCCCTGAAATAAGAAAGAGGGGTTAGATACACACATATCAAGGCACTAGAGCAGAAGTTCATGTGAGTGCTACGGCCTGGGTATAGGGACTTAACATTACACACAAGAAACTCTATTATGGTTTTTGGGTGATGCACCATGTGTAGTTGAACCTGCATAAGATATCTGTGTCCCAACATCCTATCATTTGGCAGCACAGAGGAATATTCTTCAGCCATCAAAAAATATATGAGACAGGTCTGTCTGTGCTGATCAGAAATGAATCCCAGGATACATAATGAAAAAAAAAATCAGAATACTGCATATAACATGATCCCATTCACTTTTAAATAGGGTACTCACACATGCATTTAATAGTTTTTCTAGGATATGCAAGAAACTCTTGACAGTATTTTCCTATAGGAAATGAATGAGCAGAAATTTGGGTGAAGGGGAACATATTTTCCCATTCATACTCTTCTGTACTGATTGGGCTTTTCATCATGTTGTAGTAAAATACACATGACATAGAACTGACCACTCCAACCGATTGCAAGTGTCTAATCACTGGCATTTAATGCATTGACAGTGTTGCATAGCCATCACCGCTATCAAGTTCCCAAACACCTTCATCAGTCCAGAAGGAAACCCCATGCCCAGTAAGCAGTCACTTCCTGTTCCCCTCTCCATCAGTCTTCTTTGTCTCTATAATTTGCCTTATCTGAGTATTTCATTTAAACAGAATCATACAATATGTGGCCTTTTATATCTAGGTTATTTCATTCAGCATAGTGTTTTTGAAGTTCATTCATGTCATTGCATGTATCAGTACTTCCATTTTATAGACAAATAATACTCTATTGTATGAATATACCATATTTCATTTATCCATCTGTCAGTTGATGGACATTTGGGTTTTTTCCATCTTGGGCTATTATGATATATTATTCTTATGATTAACAAACTAGTTCAAACAAAACTAGCGAAATGGTAGACTTGGACCAGGTGATCCATGGTCCTCTTCAGTCTTGGGACCTATGTCACTGCCAGCAGCTGTTTATATGAAGCAGGTAACTTTATTTTATCCACTTGAGGACAGAGGAGGAGGGGATGAAGTGCTGCTAGACCCTGAATCCCAGGACAAGCCCTCAGCTGGATGAGGCTCTTTCCCCTCCCCAAAGAGCTCAGATGGGGCAGAGAAGCTGCCTCCTGGAGCAGCGGGGATCCTGGGGTGGGAGGGAAGGGAGTGCCCCAGGAAAGGCCAGGGCCCTTGTCCAGGAAGAGGGCGCCAAGCCCGACAGGAAGTATCCTTCCTCTCGCACACACTGTCCAGCCTGCCAGGTGTCCGAGTGCTTTCGGTGCTCCCTCCCTCTTCCCCCTTGCACCTCCCCCTTTTCCACCCTCACATGTGGCCTGAGTACCCCAGTCCACCTCACAGGGATGTCTCTAGCATCTGAGACCTCAGGATGTCTGCTGGGAAAAGCAGGCTGTGAGCCTCACTTGAGAGATATAACTGGGCACCCCAGTCACTGGGAATTTGAGTGCTGCCATCCTCAGGATAACAGATGGTCAGCAGGGCTGAGAGCCCAGAGTGGTGCTCTGAGGAACAGCGTGGTGTGAGAGCAAGTTGGTCTGAAAGAAGGAAGGCTTCCTGGTGGAGGGGATGGGCACCTGTCCCCTGAGCTGACAACTTCATTTCTGATCCAGGCTCTATCACTAGAAAAGTATGTGGCCTCAGTTTCTTCATCTGTGAAGTGGGTCTGATACCTCTCTCCTTGCATTGCAGAAATCAAGACATAATAGTTATAATGATGTCTAGCATTTGTCTAAGATGTTTCATGTGCCAGGCTTTATACTGAGAGTTCATATGCATTATATCACTAATCCAAGGTAGGAACTGTTCATGTCAATTTTATAGGTAAAGAATCAGAAATGCAGAGAAACTGTGTTTTCTTTCCAAGGTCACTCAGTAAGTAATGGAGATAGATTTGAACTCAGATCTGATTAACCCCAAAGCACACACCCTTAACCCACTGAGCTTCAAAGTATGCTCCAGAGACCATCCATATCAAAATAATCTTAATTGTTAAAAAAATATCTGATTCCTTGGAATTCCATAGATTTTCTATTTTTACATATGTTTAGAACCATCCAGTTAAATAGGTTTTTTCCATAGTGCAGATTCCTCAGTTCAGCCCACACCAATGAATCAGAATCTCTGGAGACATAGTTCAGGGATCTAAATTTTTTTTTCCTTTTTATTTAATTGGAGGATAATTGTTTTACAGTATTATGTTGATTTCTGCCATATATCAACATGAATCAGCCATAGGGATCTGCATTTTTTAAAAGACCCCAAATGAATGTAAGTTGGTGCAACCATTAAGGGAAAAATATGGAGGCTCCTCAAAAAACTAAAAATAAGAGTTACCGTATGATCTAGCAACCCCACTCCTGGGCATACACCTGGAGAAAACTCTAATTCAAAAAGATACATGGGGCTTCCCTGGTGGTCTAGAGGTTAAGAGTTCACCTGCCAATGAAGAGGACATGGGTTCGATCCTTGATCCTGGAAAATGCCACATGCCACAGGGCAACTAAGCCTGTGCGCCATAGCTACAGAGCCCATATGCCCTAGAACCTGTGTCCTGCAACAAGAGATGCCACTGCAGTGAGAAGCCTGCCCACTGCAACAAGAGAAAGCCCTGGGGCAACAACGAAAACCCAGCACAGCCAAACATAAATAAATTTTTTGAAAAAAGAAAAGATACATGTAACCCTGATGTCCATAGCAGTTATTTACAACAGCCAAGACATGGAAGTAACCTAAACATACATCAACAGATGAATGGATAAAGATATTTTATACACACACACACAGGTATGTTACTCAGCCATAAGAAAAAAGAATGAAATAATGCCACTTGCAGCAGCATGCACAGACCTAGAGATTTTCATACTAAGTGAAGTAAATCAGAGAAAGACAAATACCTGAAGATATTACTTATATATGGAATCTAAAGTATGATACAAATGAACTTATTTACAATACAGATACAGACTCAGACATAGAAAATAAACCTATGGTTACCAAAAGGGAAAGGAGGGGATAAACTAGGAGTTTGGGATTTAATAGATCAAGCTAGTAAATACAAAACAGATAACCAGCAAGATCCTACGTATAGCACAGGGAAATATATTCAGTATCTTATAGTAATAATGGAAAAGAAAAATAAAAGACCCTTGGTAACTGTGATATAAAATACAATTTGGGTTACCTCCATTCCTATACTGTACTGACTCCGAAGAATGGGAAAAGTGCAAAAATTCAGCATTAGCAGCTATTGTATGTGTTGTGTATATTCACTATTGTGTGTGTTATTATTTCCTCTAGTCCACTTCCTCCTCTGCAGGTTTGGAAGGAGAGGAGGTGGGGGATGCATTAAGAAGTGAGCAGAGGGGCTGAGGTGGAGGAAGACGAGACAAAGGCAGAGCAGAAAGGGGGTCTGGGCCCAGGTGCTAGGACACCGCTCCCTGCAGCCCAGTGACTAGAGCTGTGACCAAGATACATACCCACACATACCAGTGTTCTGGGGTCAGAGGAGAGAGGCTGACCATGCTCTGCCTGGGAAGGTCAGAGGAAAGATCTTCGAGCTGGGTATTGAAGGCTGAGTAGGAATTTTCTAGCTGTTGCTAAGAGGGCACAGAGAACAGCATGAACATAGGCCTAGAAGTGTGACAGGGCCCAGTAGGGCCATTCCTGGTGACAGGAGCATAGGCGGCAGGTGTGGCACCAAGGCAGATGAGATACGGAGAGGAGGCCCCATACTCTGGCCAGGCAGTGCCTAGAAGCTCCACTCCCTCTTCCCTGAGGAGGACACCGTGTCCAAGATCTTCACCAGCCCTGGCACCTGGAGTCTGCCTGCATTTCTCCAAGTACTGCTCTTTCTGTCAACCCCACAGATGGCTGCAGCCCAGCCCACTCGCTTATGGATGGCTACTATGAGGATGCAGACAGCAGCTACCCCGCCACCAGGATGAATGGGGAGCTGAAGAATTCCTGTAAGTACTGGATGGACGTTCAGTCCAGTTCTGTCCTCAGGGAGAGTAAACCTTGACCTGACCTTGGCATGCCCATACCCACTGCCCCCCTCAACTCCCTGGGGTCACCACAGAGGCCTCAAAGTCCTTGTTCTCAGTGACTCTGGGGTTCAGTGGGAAGACTGCTGAGAGGAGTTAGGAGCCCTAGACCAAGCCCTTGCCCTGACTCTCAGTGACTGACGTTAAGCAAGTGATTTACTCTCCCTGAGTCTCCAGATTCCTCTATCAAACAGGGACTTGCTGGGAGCCAAGAAAATGACCTGAGACAATGGATGCAAAGATGATGGGTAAAGACAATAGCTGATGTTTACTGAGCCCTCAGTGAGTGCCAGACACTCAGCTAAACATTCTGCATTCGTTGCTGCTCAAAATAGCTTAGTGAGGTAGGTATTATAATTTATTATGACCATTTCATTGATGAGGAAACTGAAGCTCTGAGAGGTAAGTCACTGAGGTCACAAAGTGGTAAATAGGAAAGACACAGGGCCCATATGGGAGCTTAGTCATTACCAAGATCACACCTCACACCCACCCCTTCACAGCCCTGGGGCCCCAGAGCAGGGATGTCTGCAGAAGAGTCAGGAGGTCCACCTCCCGCCACCCTGGGTGACAGCACAGGGACGGGTCCTTTCCTATGGCTCCTGCAGACAATGACTCTGACGCCATGAGCAGCTCCTACGAGTCGTACGATGAGGAGGAGGAGGAAGGCAAAGGGCCACAGCCCACACACCAGTGGCCCTCAGAGGAGGCCTCCATGCACCTGGTGAGGGACTGCAGGATATGTGCCTTCCTGCTGCGGAAAAAGCGCTTCGGGCAGTGGGCCAAGCAGTTGACCGTCATCAAGGAGGACCAGCTCCTGGTGAGTGGCCGCAGAGGACAGCCTCTGGGCCTCACGTGGACTTTCATGTGTGTGCGTGTGTGTCTGTGCGTGCAGGCATGTCTGCCTCTGTCCCTCTGGGTTTGCCTTGCGCACAGAGGCTCAAAGGACGGTTCTTCTGAGAACAGAGCTCTCCTACCAGAGCAGAATTTTTAAAAAAATACAAAACCTGATAAAGACTTGACCAAGTTTTGTTTTCCCAAACTTGAATTTTTTTATCACTTTAAAACAATGTTTATCGTTTTTCACTAGGTAAATGTATTTACTTAAAAAGCTAGGGAAAAAAAATGAAAAATGATTTTTAAAAAAAACCTACCTAATCCCATTGACCAAGAGCTAACCACTGCTAAGTTTTGATGCATAAACTTCCACCCTCATTTCCATACATCTGCCTTTTCTGAAACTGAGCCCATGCAATACTTGTTATATAACTTGAAACATTTTTTTTTAATTTGTCATGTCTCATCACTATCATTTCATAAAAGAAATATACCTTTAATTCCAAAGTATAAGGAAGGACATAATTTCTGGGAAAAAAAATGGCATCTCTTTATCTGTTAAGTCTTACTAAACATATATCCATTGAAACATGACCTTTTCTCACCTTGGAGCAATGAAAAGCTCATCCCAGGTCAGAATCAGGCCAAGAATCATGACATACTTCTTTCTACACATTATGCCGTCTTTTTCTTGACTTACTGCAATGGCTATGACCTACAGTGGAGATTCTCTGGTGGCTCAGTGGTAATTAAAGAATCCACCTGCTTATGCAGGAGATGCTCATTCAAACCCTGGGTCAGGAAGATCCCCTGAAGAAGGAAATGGCAGCCCACTCCAGTATTCTTGCTTGGAGAATCCCATGGACAGAGGACCTGGCAGTCTACAGTCCATGGGGTCACAAAGAGTTGGACACAACTTAGTGACTGAACAACAACAACAAAGGACCTCTAGTATGATATAAATAGAAGTGGTGAGAGTAGGCATATTTGTTTCAATCCAGATCTCAAAGGAAAGTTCAGAAATTCACCATTAAGACTGATGTTTGTTTGTGGAGTTTTTGTGTAGGTATTCAATCCAGATATCAAAGGAAAGTTCAATAATGCACCATTAAGGCTCATGTTTGCTTGTGGGGTTTTTTTATAGGAATTCCTTATTATCACATTAAGCAAGTTTCCCTTTAAGAGTTTGCTAAGAGTTTATGTTACAAATGGATACAGAATTTTATCAAATTTTTTTCTGCTCCTATTGAAATATGTGGTTTTTCTCCTTTTTTCTGGTACTACAATAAATTACATGGTTAGTTTTTGAATGATAACCCACTCTTGCACTTAGAATAAATTTGGTCTCTGTGCAATATGGTTTTTATATGTGTCTGGATTCTATATGCTAATATTTTGTTTATAGTTTTTACAACTATGTTATGAGAGACATTAGCCTATGACTTTCCTTTTTTGTAATGTCATTGTCAGGTTCTGGTATCAAGGTAATGTTAGCCTCATAGTAAGAACTGGGAAGTGAGAATTATTATTGATAAACTGTTGACTTCCCAAGGCCAACCCTCCATTTCTGCTATAACTCTCTCCCACATTCTTGCCTTGGAGCCCATTAATAGCAGGGAGCTGGCTTCCTCCCAAGACAGCCTGTTTCTTCTCTGGTTCTTTAGACTAGAATGGTCTTCCTGGTATTGTGCTAAAACCTGCCTGTTCCTAAATAAGTAGCTGTGACCCTTAAGACTGCTCAAAAGCCCTTGAGATCTGGAGCTTTCCCAAAGATGCCCCTCCCAGGCTTCTTGTCTCTGTTGTATACAGTCACAGCCCCTGTCTTCATGCAGTGCCCACAGTCGGGATGGGTGGGGAGGTCTCTTTGGGGCAGGTTGAGTTTCAGTCTCCTCCCTCCACTCTCCACTCCAGGAGGCCCTAACCCCTTCTCTTCCTGTCCAGTGTTACAAAAGCTCCAAGGACCAGCAGCCGCATCTGAGGCTAGCGCTGGATGTCTGCAATGTCATTTATGTGCCCAAGGATAGCCGGCACAAGAGGCACGAGCTGCGCTTCTCCCAGGGGGCTACCGAAGTCCTGGTGCTGGCACTGCAGAGCCGGGAGCAGGCCGAGGAGTGGCTGAAGGTACAGGGGGGCCTGTGCCCTTCACCCACCCTCCTACCCTTCCTCCCTCCTCCCTTCCTTCCTCTCTTCCCCAGACCCAGCCCTCAGTGGGGTGGGTGCCTGTCACTGGAAAAACAGGCCTGGCTCAGAGGGTCAGTGCCTTCCATATGGCTAGGGTTTTATGTGGAAATGGGCCTCGGATACCTCCAGGAGACAGACCTCAGCCTAGAGACCTATATTCCTTCTATCTATTTGAGTCCCCTAACATGCCTACTGTGCATTTATCCTACCTGCAATGTACATCTCCAGGAACAGAGAGCTTAAGACCTCCTGCAAAAGAAGCTGATTTTATCATTAGACAGGCTAGTCCTTTTTTTTAATAAAGGAGAAATTCTTTATCTTAGGTGAAATGTGCATACTTATAAGATCCACCTATGACCCAGTTCCTGCATCTTACACAACAATTAGAGTTACCATGTACTGAGCACTTTCTTGGCGCCATGCATTGTGGTAAGAGCTTTATACACATGACTTCATTTACTATTCACCATGGGACTAATATTGTTCCCATTTTATAGATGAGGAAGCTGAGGCACAAGAGCTTCTGTGACTCACCCAAGGTCAACCACCAGTGGTTCGGACCAGAATTGGAAGTGAATCCAATTCCAAGGAAAATCTAAGGAAATCTAGTCCAAAGGTGACAGGGTGGCATAGTGATGACAAGGGAAGACTTCGGTGCTATACAGACCTTAAGTTCAAGTCCTGGACCTAAGCAGCATTTACTGATATGTGATCTTCTGCAAAGGACTTCATGTTCCTGTGCCTCAGATTCTTCCTCTATAAGATGGTTCTTGTCAGCATTCTAGAGAGTACCTGACATAGAGCCTGCCAGGCAGTAAGTCTTCAGTAACTGTCAGCAACTACTGTGCAGTGATGGTGAAGCCCTCTCCCCCAGGCCCTTACAGCAGATCTCTCCTCTGATCTTCCTGCTGGAACAAAGAAACCAAACCACTGCTTCCCTCCCTCCCATCCTCTCTTCCTTCCTGTGATAACCAGCTCTCCCACTGGGATGTTTACTGTTTCTCATTACTGCCTTTGTCTCAGGAGGGGAAGGAAGAGAGAGAACCTGCCTGCTGGGGTGGGGGTGGGGGAGCGCTCTGTCCTTAAGGGACTGTGGTTGAGTAAGAAAAAGCCCTAAACTCGGAGTTAAAGACACCTGCCCTGGTACCTCAATTAGCGCAAACAGCAGAACAGGCAGCCATGGCTTCACCTCTCAGAGTCTCATCATTCTCATTTATAATTTGGGGACCAAAGTACCCCACCCCACAAGGCTGCTGTGGGGATATACAAGGGGATAATCCAGGCAAAGCCAACTGACAGATGAGCAGCAATTGTCTGTTGCTATTTAATAATCAGGATGCTTGTGCTGCATGACCTCAGGTGAGTGCCTTGGGGTCTCAGTTCCCACATCTTTGAAATGGAGAGAATAATCCTGGCTATTCTGCAGGTTGTTGTAAAGTTCCAACATGTCACAGAAGTAAGTCCCTCATGCCTGTGGCATGCCAATGCACATAGCCCTTCACAGCCATCATCTCACTGGTCCTCACACCCCCAAGGAGGTAGCAGAGAACTAGTAGCATCCCTGTGTTACAGATGGGGAAATGAAATCCCAGAGCAGGGACATGGCTTTTCCAAAGCCATGCAACTAATTAGTAATGGCGCCAGGTCTAGAAGCCAAATCTCTTGGCTCCCAGCTCCTTATGTTTTCAATTCAAGGGACAGACTCAGGAAAAAGCCTGTTCAGATCCTGGCGTGTCCCACACATGGGGCAGGAGGCCAAGTCAACCTGTCCCTCACCCAGTGATCCCAACCGCTCTGATGGACCTCATTCTTGCTTCTGTCTCCACAGTGTCTCTGCTTACCTGCTCACAGTATGTGTCCTCTCCACAGGTCATCCGAGAGGTCAGCAAGCCCGTCGGGGGCACTGAGGGGGCAGATGTGCCCAGATCCCCAGTCCTCCTGTGCAAGGTGGACCTGGACAAGGTACCTCTGTCTTCACAGGGTCCCTCTGAGATAGACAGTGGGAACTCAGCACAGGCTCTGTCCCAAGGGACACGCAGGCTGGTGGTAAAGCCAGACATCAACAGCAGGCACTTAATAAACGTCTACTGAATTCATGAATGCCCATGTCCAAGGTGCAACACAAGCCAGAGGAGGGAGTGACTACCTTGCCAGGACAGGAAAAGGTCACGTTTGAACCAAGCCATGAACACCAAATTGGAATCAGTCAGTCAGACAAGGAGTGTCCACTGGGACATAAGTGAAGCAGTCATTTCATTCCATCAGGCCATTGACAAACACATGCTAAAGCCTATGTTTCACCAGGTGCTGTGGGTGATTATGGGACTCAGCCCCAAATCCTAAGGGAGGGTTAAGACCCCCACATAAGGGTCTCGCACGACATGATAAAGACTAGCATTATAGAAAATGTGACTGTGGCCAGCACTGTTCTAAATGCTTTATGTATGTTACCTATCTTAATTTCTATAATTCTTTGATGAACTGCATTTTCAGAAAAGGAAGCCATTGCACAAAGTCTGCCCAAAGTCACACATAATAAGAACAGAGCTAGCTGATTACACCCAGCCAGCCGACCTGTGGCTGAGGGTACACTGGGAGGGTAGCTAAAATGTTTAGGTGGTGTTTCTGGAGAAGAGTGGGAGTGAGAACATGGTATTGGTGGCTCTCTCTCTCCATAGACTCCTGTGATTGAGCTGTCATCATCATTAAATCAACTCCAAAGTGCACACAGTGTTCTTTATACTTGACAGTTCTGTCCCAGTTCTGACAGTTGCCATTTTTCCAACCTTTGGAAACTTGGGGGAGTACACAGACTCTCTCATCTCCCCTGCCTTCTAGTACTATGCTAGCAAAGCATCCCTGAGCCTGGTCTGGGGTACCCCCAGAAAAGGTTTAGGGGCCTCAGAGCTCTGTGAGTTCACCTTTATAAGTGAATAGGTATCATTTTAGTCTTGTCCTGAGTCTGGCTGGCACAGTTTAGATTCTTAAAGTGGGACAGTCGCATACCACACAGGTGTTAGAAATGACAATTTCTAACAGTTGGCCTCAGAATTTCACTTGTGCCAGTTCCCTGGTGCCTCACAGCAGCCCACTGACATGAGGGTAATTCAAGTGAGAAGCCTTGAAGAGATGAAAGGATTTTCCCACATCTCCACAGCTGAGGAGAGACATTATTTCTTCGAAGGTCCATCTTGACTATTCTACACCACTCCTTAATAGGAATGAATGAATGACTGGGCCAGAGTTGGCATAATAAGGAAAAATACTGTTGGTTGACCACGAAGTTGTTACCATGGGGTGGGTGGGTGGGTGGGGTGTGTGTGTGGTATCTTTGCCATTCTCTCATCCAAGCTGGAATTGTAATGGACTCGTCTCTCATCACCATTCACATTTACTGATCACCAAGTCCTGTTATGACAATTTTGAAAATGCCAACTCATCTCTTTTTCCCCATCCTCATTGGTGCTATTCACCCTCCTATCAAGTCTCATATCGCCAAGGATGACATTCTTACTGCCCCTTTTGCTTCCAGTCTTGCCCCCTTCTTGTCCATCTCCCATGATGCAGCTGGGGGGGACTTAGAAAACCAACTTCACTAGTGTCCCACTTAAATACCTTCTTACCTCCCTGTCACCTAACAAATATGGTCCAAACTCCTACGACATTAATTTCAGCCTATTATATTGAATTTCTCACTCCCCAAATAGACTGAATTCCTCATTTCCAAATACATGAAAGACACAACCACCCTAAGTGATAGTTGTCCTCCTCATACCAGTACGACAGTTGCTCCCAAGTATTTCTTTAGCTAATCCTCGTGTACAGGGGTCAAGGGGGGGCTGAACCAAGAAAGGGAGACTGAGTGTGCCCTCTGACAGGGGCTGTCTGTGTTCCTCCCCAGAGGCTGTCCCAAGAGAAGCAGACCTCGGATTCTGACAGCCTAGGCATGGGTGACAGCTGTTCCACTCTTGGCCGTGAACATGGTAGGAGCCTCTGGGGGCTCAGAGGGAGAATGCTAGAGCTGGGAGGGGCCTTGCCATGAGCACGCACAGTGCAGATCAGGTCCTGACCATTATGGAGACCTGGCTGATGTGAGCTGGCCTATCCATACTGGGCCAGGCCCTGTGTGCAGGTTCAAAGGCTGGAGGGAAGGCTAGGGGCAGGTGGATCTAGAACTTGGGGCTCCCTCCCCTCACCTAACCCATCTCCATGGCAACAGGCAAAGGGAAGAAGAGCAGCCTGTCAGAGCTGAAGGGTTCCATGAGCAGGGCTGCAGGCCGCAAGATCACCCGTATCATCAGCTTCTCTAAGAAGAAGGCACTGGCTGATGACCTGCAGACGTCCTCTACCGAGGAGGTTCCATGCTGTGGTGGGTACCATGCATGCAGAGAATTCAGACTCTGTTGATGAGGGATCCTGGGGCCAAGCCAGAAGACCCTCCAGGCCTAATCTACCTCATTCCTAAGGCAGAGGATAGAATCCTCCTACTAGATGGCTAACCCCCACTCCATCAATAATTCATGCCCATCCACCACTTCTCCCTGACACCTAACAGAAGGAAAAGTTAACCAGCTGTCCTATTACTATGCTCCCTATGACATTAGTGCCCATCACTGCCCATCTCTGGGCCTCAGTTTCCTCTACTATGACAAGAGGAGAGTATCTTAACTTCCCACTATATAATATAATATACCAAGTGTTTAAGTTATGGTCCGGTCTTACAAGGATATTTCTTGAATAAAAATATTTAAGGACTTTTCATTGTAAATGCATAAAATGTGAATTAAAAGTAGTTTGAAAGAAAAGAAACATTGCTTATCTAATCGCATTGTTCCATGTATTGGAATCCAATAAAAAATCATGTGTTTTAGGTAAACTGTAATATTCTGATAACCTGGAAAGAACATCATAAAAGCATATGGATATAGAGAAATATTTTCTAAGTGGATGAGGATGCTGTTATGGTAAAAAAATAAATTAAAATCTAAAACATGAAGAGGGAATTCTAAATTCATCAACCATCAGCCTGCCCCTCACTTGTTTCTAATTCTTCATCTTGGCTACATGTTTTTGTTCCACATGCTGCCACCAGGTGTCAGCATCAGCCATTGTTTTCTGTCCTCCGAAATTAGTTTTTGCTATTTTAGGAGGAAAGGCAGAAGGAAGAGTTGTGTCTTTCATTCATTATGTACAGTAGTTCTGCCCCTTTCATCAAGGTTGGTATGGTCTGAAGGCTGTGCAGGTAATGTACAAATATGATTATCAATCCCCTCTTCACATAACAAACTGAAACCTGAGGTCACAGACCTGGAATGAGCTGACTCAGGACCCAGAAGGCCTTTCTCTCCAGCTAGAGTACAAGAGTTACCCAGGCCCTCTGTCCCCACACCCTGACTTGTATCCCCCAGGACTATCAGGAGGTCATATCATTGGTCTCTGTCTCCCAGGTTACCTGAATGTGCTGGTGAACCACGGATGGAAGGAACGCTGGTGCCGCCTGAAGTGCAACACCTTGTATTTCCACAAGGACCGCACAGACCTGCGGACCCACGTGAATGCCATTGCCCTCCGTGGTTGTGAAGTGGCCCCAGGCTTTGGGCCCAGACACCCATTTGCCTTCAGGATCCTACACAACCGGCAGGAAGTTGCCATCTTGGAGGTGAGAAGAGAAAATAGCTTAGGGGTGGGAGCTAAGAGGAGCTCTGGCCTGGAGGTTGGCTTTTGTCCAGGGGTCCTTACTGACATTACAGGGACTAAGGAAGAGGGAAAGTAAGCCAGCTGTTGCCAAGTAGCCAGTTAAACTGTAGAACACTCACTTAAATGTGAATTTCAAATAAATGACAACTAATTCTTTTTACTACAAGTATATCCCATATTTGGGACATACCTATACTAATAAACTATTGTTTATCTGAAATTCAAATTTAAGAGAACCGTGCATTTTTATTTGTTAAATCCAGCAACCCTAGACCCAAGGTTTGTTTACTCTGCCTTATAAATATAGTCCCAAGACTAAAAGGCATCTAGTCTAACTCTGATCTAATTTTGGAAACCTCTCTAAAATTTACGTCCCACCAGTGACTGTTCATCTCAGATAAACCACTGCTCCTCCCACCAAGCAACTAAATTTTTACAAAGATTTTCTCCATAATGAGTTGAAATCTTAAAACTCTGTGTAGGCAGCGACTACACCTGTTCTGCATATTTTTGTTTTTCCAGAACCCAGCCTAATATCCAGCAATACTGGGCTGGACAGTATTGGGCTCTCAGTAAGGGACAGTAAGGACTCAATTAACATCTGTTGGACAAATGCCTGAATGACAATGTGATTTCATTTCACCCACTCATTTTTCCTAACTACCCACTGGCACCAGGCCTCCTCTCTGGGGTCATACAGAATACACTGAATCTCCCTTTACATGTCAATCCCTCAGCTATTAAGACATTTAAAATATTAACTGGTAGAAAACTTAAACAACTATCCCCTATATTACAGATAAGGAAACTGAAGCCAGGGTAGTCACAGGCTTCATCCAAAGCTCCATAGAGGATTAATGGCCTCTTGGTCTTTTTCCTTCAAGTAAGACCCAGCCTCTAGGCATTGTTTTCTTTGCCCAGTACCCACTGCCTCTCTCAGTTATTAAATGTAAGGAAATATTGATTCCGTAAGTCACTTCTACTTTTGATAGCTTGAGATGGGTCTTTTACTTCTCTTCAGAAAGAGCTTTCCCTTTCTCTTCACAAACAGCTTTCTGGCAAAAACTGTGCTTTTTAAATTCAAGTTAGTTTTTGTGAGCTAACTTGATTTTATGATGATGCTTTTTAACATTTCTCTGAGAATATTATCAAGTGCAGAAAAAATAAGAATAGGAGCATCTTGAATGATGTCATTAGTAATTTAAATATTTTTATTTACATTAACTTACATCCTACACAAATATATTTAAAATTCTGCATCTCATATGTTGTTATTAGATGTCCATCGGACATTTAGAAAAACTGGAAAAAAGATAAACATTATTAAATTTCAAAAAGTAGAATTCTTTTTTGTGTGATTCAGTTATATATATATGCATATTATTTTTGAAATTATTTTCCATTATAGGTTATTACAAGATATTGACTGTAGTTCTGTACAGTAAATCTTCATTGCTTGTTGCATATATTTTTTTTAAAACAGAAATCTAGCATTCTATTCATACTAAGTCAAACAGGTGGAATCAAACTGTCATAAATTTTTTAGTTAGGCAAAAATTTGTAACTTTTCTAATACATATTTATAATACATATTATTTTATGATAATGTTCTTTAAATAAAAACATGTGTTTAGTTGACCAGCAACTTCTTAGATATTTTCCTATATATAATATTATATATAATTGGCATTTATGATACAAGAAAAAAATTGGGGTTACGTGATAAATAGCCTCCTCATTTAATAAAAAGAAAATATTTTTTAAAAATTCAGAGAAAACCTAAGTTTTGTTTTCATATCTAATTGATCTGGAAGGCTCTGAGGATAACAAGTAAAGCTATATGTTTTAGAGAGGTAGTTGGGGAGGGCTTCTCTGAGGAGGTAGCCCTAGAGCAGAGACCTGAATAGAGGTCTCTATTTTCTATCCAGAAAACTTAAAACTTGGGTTTCTGGATGAGTGCTCTAGTCTTGCTCCTCTTGGATCCCTAAGTATTGGGTCCAAACAGATACTATACGCATGTTGGTTTGGCTGAAGTGAGTGGGTAGCCAGAGGCCCTCAATGTGCCAAAGTGAACTCAGCTTGTGCCTTCTCTCCCTCAGGCAAGCTGCTCAGAGGACATGGGCCGCTGGCTTGGGCTGCTGCTAGTGGAGATGGGCTCCAAAGTCACTCCCGAAGCTTTGCACTATGACTATGTGGATGTGGAGACCCTAACAAGCATCGTCAGTGCAGGGCGCAACTCCTTCCTGTAAGGGCCAATACCCCACAGCCCCTCAAAGCTGCCCACAACCTTTCCTATCTCAGCTCCCTCTCAGAGGTGGAATGGGAGGGAAGGGAGGATGGGCTGAGAAAGACTGCTTCCTTGGGAAGTCAGAGTAGGTGCCTTCCTCTTCCATCAGGAGGAGTGAGCTGGTTAAAGGAGGAGGCTCAGGGCTGGGGATGCTGTGGATGGAACCAGCCAGGAAGAAGCTCTTTTCGACCATGGCCTGGGCTCTGCTCTCATGCCATAGAAACTTAGGGTCCCGATACCCTTGAGCCTCTGGGCAGGCACGAGGCTCGTCTGCGGAGTTTGCATTATACGTGCCAGCTTTGAGCTGTGGCTCTATCATGACCAACAGCTTGGGTTGGTTGCTTGCCAGCCTGGATCCTCTGTTTTCTCACGTACAGAATGGAGGCGATGAACAACCTGCTTCCTGTATTGTGAGAATCCCATGCGTCCCTGCCTATAAGCTCTAAACACATCAGTGGCACAGTGCTGCCTGGCCTGGCTGCTATCACTAACTTTCTGACCTCCATTAAAAGCTGCTGCCAGAATCAAATGTGTGGACAGGAAAGCACTGTAAGCTGCATAAGTATTATTATCACATCATCATCATCATCATCCTTTGTATTTTCTAGATATGCAAGATCCTGCCAGGATCAGTGGCCTGAGCCCCGAGTCTATGATGATGTTCCTTATGAAAAGATGCAGGTATGGTCCCTTGGTACTTTGGGGGACATAGCAAAGGCCACTTATTAGCTCTCCCTCTTTCCCTCCCTCACTGTTCCTTTGCCTCAGAGAAATCATTTTTGTTTAACCAGCACCTGGAAGGTGGGGGAGAGGGGACCTTCTTGCCCCAGACTGTAGCTTGGGAGAATCTCTGAACAGGAGGCTGGGCAGTGTGGAGGAAAGAGGCCCTGAACAGGAAGAAGAGAGGGCTCTGCAAGCTACAGAGCACTGCCCCAGTCTGAGCAAGCTTGAGCTTTCCACCACTATAGCTCTGTGAGCTGACTGATTCAGTAATGTCTCAGATGGATGATAACTGAGTGGCTGCCCCCACAGGCCTTTACCTGGTGGCATCCACAGTTTGGGCTTCGGCTCCCAGGACAGTCTCCCTGTCTTGCTCACTAAACCAAGAAGATGCCAGCTTATTAACTTACAGTAAGGCCTCTGTAGCCATCACATGACCCATCCTGCTCCACAATCTGCCCTGTGCCTTCTCCTGCCACGGGAAAGCAAGAGGACCACATTCTGACTAGACATTGTTTGGTGAGTCAGGCCTCACAGCTCATGGACAGAGAGGGAAATCAAGGTGCCAAGGAAAGCAGATGTGTCTGCAGGCCAGGACCCCTGCCCTGGACAGTGCTGGATGACGGTCTGAGCTCTTACCTCTAGGTTTTGCAAGAACTAAATGAAATCTTTATGGGAAAAGCTTAGCACAGTACCGAGACACTGGAAGGTCTTATAATGAGGGTAAATAATACTGCTATTATCAATATCATTATTATATGACTATCATATTCCACTCATGGTTTCCTGAGCTTTGACAAGATGTTGAGTGTTCTTGCTACTCTTTCATGTGAAAATGTATAGCCAGTCCATTAAGTTATGCCACTTCAATCACTGGCTGATCTCAACTTTGATTTTTTTTAACTTAAGACTTTATATTAGCAATTCAGAAAATTTGAAGGATACATCCAAATGATGTACTGACAAAAATATCTATGATAAATCAAATATGGTCACCCAAAGTCTTTTGAGGCTTCCTAATTTTTCCTCTCAGCAGAAATTCCAGTTTAGGGTTGCCTTCTTCTGCCCCTGACAGGAAGGTATGAGGATCAAGTAACATACTGCTAGTGCAAGTGGTTTATAGACCATTGAGGGCTGCACACAACTAAAAGTGTAAGGCCAAGATCTCAGAGGTCAGGCAGCACTCAGCCATCAAGTGCACTCACAAAGCACCTACACTGAGGGCTCTGAGCCCACCCGTACTTTATCTTCTCCTTCCATCTCCCCCCAGGACGAGGAGCCTGAGCGACCCTCTGGAGCCCAGGTCAAGCGCCATGCCTCCACTTGCAGTGAGAAGTCCCATCGGGTGGACCCACAGGTCAAAGTCAAGCGCCACGCCTCCAGTAAGTTCTGTGTTTCATGGGAGGAAGGAGGGGACTGTCCGGGACAGGGGCAGGGTGGGGTGGGGGGAATCTCAAAATCAGATCCTTCCAGGGCTCATGTGGTAAGTGAGTAAGGAGAGGTAAGAAAATACTCTAAGAAAAATAACAGCACAAGCAGAGTGATAAAGGGCAGTAAGCAGGAGGCCTCAGAGAGAAAAAAACAGGAACAGGTTGGGGGAGACTGAAGGAAACTGCAGTGCTCAGACCCCAGCTCTGTGGGCTTCCCTGGTGGTTCAGATGATAAAGCGTCTGCCCCCCAGCACTAGGGGCAGCCAATATTCAGCTCCAGCCAAGGCCCCCAGGCAGCAGTGCCAGCTCAGATTTGCCAATTATTCAAAACAAACCAGAAATCTACTTATTTTTTAATGTTAGCAACTATTTAAAAATTTTAACACTACATAAAGCCACATATATAGAGAGAGTTCACCTCTGTCCTAGCACTTCATAAAAGTTTGTTGAACTGCCTGATTGTCACACTGCAAAGTGATGACTAACTGTGTCAGAAAACTCTATGGTAAAAGGTCTCTTTGATTCCCAACATAAATCTCTACTCCTGTATGATTTATCTTTATGAGCAAGCCAGCTTTCTGTAGGACAGCATGTCCTAAGACTCTTATGTTGGTTTTACTTGCTTCCCCCTGTACCAGAACACAGTCAAGTTCTAGTCTTTGCTTTTTGAGGATTTATTTTTTTAAATATTTTTCTTTATGATAACTCCGTATCACTGCTATTGTTTATTTGCTCAGTTGTGTCTGACTCTTTGAGATCCCAGGACTGTAGCCCACCAGGCTCCTCTGTCCATGGGATTCTCCAGGCAAGAATACTGGAGTGGGTTACCATTTCCTCCTCCAGGGGATCTTCCCCACCCAGGGATCAAACCCATGTCTCCTGCATTGGCAGGTGGGTTCTTTACCACTGAGCAACCAGGAAAGCCCACTTCATTAGCATAGATAATCTCTTCTAGAGTCAAGAGATTTGTATTCCATTCCTTACTTGGTCACTAAACTACTATGCAACTTTGGAAAAGTCCCCTCCCCTCTCCAGAGTTTCCTCTCTGAACAATTAAAGGGTTGTTGTAACATTCCTTATGCTCTATGCTTGTGGACATTAGAAATGCACAGCTTTATGGAATACCCATTTCAGAATGGGAAAGTGAATTGAAATAAGCATGTAAGATTGAAGAAATCACAAAATGTAACAACAACAAAAAGAAATTAGAACAAAGACTAAAAAAAAATTCTTTAAATCAAATGTTATACTGAAGCTCAGTTTATAAGAAAGAGAAAAAGCGGAGCTGCTTTGCCTGGAGTCCAGAGACCTGCTTGGCCTCCCCTTTGCTCCACACAGTAGCCTGTTACCCATCATTGTGAGATCATACAGCTCCTCAAAGACTATAGGAAACTATGGATCTAATCCAACAATGTTTTTCAGATGAAGAAACAAGAACATAAGAGAAGGGTTTTACCCAAGATCGTGTATTAATTACCCATTGCTACATAATAAATTACCCAAAATTTCACAGCTTAAAACATAAGTGTGTGTTATATCAGTGTTTCTGTGGGTCAGGAATCCCAAGACAGCTTAGTTAGGTAGCTCTGGCTTAGGGTCTCTCATGATGTCACAGTCAAGAAGTCAGTTGGTCATCTGAAATCATCTGATAGCTTGACATGCTAGAGAGTCTGCTCCCAAGATGGTTAATGTGTATGCCTGGCAAGTTTGTGCTGGCTTTTGGAAGGAGGCCTCAGTTCCTTGCCATGGGGACCTCACCATTGGGCTGCTTGTCCTCATGACAGGATAGCTGGCTTCCTCCACAGCACATGACCCAGGAAGGAGGGACAGAGTAGAAGCTGCATTGTTTTTGTGAACTGGCTTTTGTGATCATTTCTGCCACATCCTAATGGTTGCACAGGTCAGCCCTATCTAGAGTGGAAGGGAACTGCAAAAGGACAAGAACACAAAAGTCATGGGAACTGAGGGGACTGCTGAGGAAATGGTAGCATCAGAAGCTCCACAGACCTGCTTCCCAGAAACGACCATAACCAGTGAGGACTGCTAAATCAGTCATCTAAAGTCTCCAGAAACTGTCCTAAGGGCATATGGCAAGTGAAGACTTATTCTAGATAATTTACTAACTCTCAGTTAAAACACTGAGACTTTAAGACATCCGAGCCACAGCCCACTCCCTTACCCCTCTCCCAGCTCAGCGAGGCAGAATCTCCACTCTAGGCAGCTGTGGACAAGAAAACAGGGCTCTCTTTTCTCTCACCCCCAGTCAAGAGCAGCAGTATCTCCCCAATAAGATCAAGTTACCAGCATTTCTTATCACTATCAATTATGTATTACAGACATTAAATCACAGGTGAGTGCAGCCCACAAGTAGGGTGCACCCAGACTCCACTCATAGGGCAAATGCTCTACTCAAGGTTGGGCAGGCCAAGGATATGGGGGCCCTATTGCCCTCACCCAAGATCACTCATAAGGCAGGGGTTCCACACTAGGAGAGGCAAGTTTAGAAGATCAGAGATAACAGTCCCCACCCAGCACCCAGCTCACAAAACAGAGATGTCACTCCAAGAGAAGCAGGCCATTGTTCAGAACAGTGACTCTGAGATTTTTGCCCAAGGTAAAAAGAAAGGCAAGTCATAAAAACATTGAACTCCAGAGACTTGCTTGGTGGTTCAATGGTTAAGAATCTGCCTGCCATTGCAAGGGAAATGGGTTCGATCCCTGGTCTGGATCTAGGCCCACGTGCCACAACTACTCAGCCTGTGCTCTAGAGCCCAAGTGCCACAACTACTGAAGCCCACGCACCCCAGAGCCTGTGCACCACAACGAGAAGCCACTGCAATGACAAGCTCATGCACCACGAGAGAAGAGACCCCACTAGCCACAATTAGAGGAAGCCCACACACAGCAATAAAGACCCAGCACAGCCACAAAGAAATTAATTTTAAAAAAAAACAAACACTGAACTCCAAAGCGCTCTTTCAAAAGAATTGACGTTAGTGGGAATAGAATGTGGAGCAAATGATGATACAAAGCATTATCAAAAACAACAGAACAATCAGCTGACAATTAGTGGAACCTAACAGCTAGATATGATACCAAGAGTCAGGCAGTGTAACAGAGAGATCAGAAAGAAAGTCCTGCTAAGATCACTGTCCTCCAAGGTGACCATATATGCCTAAGGCTGCACCCTCTGTGGATCAACATCAGAGGCCACCATCACCCTGATACCAAAACCAGAGAAAGATACCACAAAAAAGAAACCTACAGGCCAGTATCACTGACAAACATAGACACAAAAATTCTCAACAAGATACTAGCAAACCAAACCCAATAATACATTCAATTATCCACAAATCAATATCCACAAATCAATCAGTGTAGTACACCATATTATCAAACTGAAGGATAAAAACTATATGATTATCTCAATAGATGCAGAAAAAGCTTTTGACACAATTCAACACTGATTTATGATAGAAACTCTCCAGAAAGTGGGCATAAATGGAATTTACCTCAAGATAATAAAGGCTATATATGACAAATTCACAGCTAAAATCATTCTCAATGGTGAAAAACTGTAAGCATTCCCTCTAAGATAAGGAACAATGCAAGCATGTCCACTGTCATCACTTTTATTCAACATAGTTGTGAAGTCCTAGCCATGGCAATCAGAGAAGGAAAAGGAATGAAAAGGAATTCAAATTGGAAAAGAAGAAGTAAAATTGTCACTGTTTGCAGATGACATGATACTACACATAGAAAATCCCAAAGATGCTACCAGAAAACTACTAGAGCTTAGCAATGAATTTGGTAAAGTTGCAGGATACAAAATTAATACACAGAAATCTCTTTCATTCCTTTACATTAACAATGAAAGATCAGAAAGAGAAATTAAGGAAACAATCCCATTTACTATCACATCAAAAAGAAGGAAATACCTCAGAATAAAAAGCTACCTAAGGAGACAAAAGACCATACTCTGAAAACTATAAGACAATGATGAAAAAATCAAAGATGACATAAACAGATGGAAAGATATATACCATATTCTTGGAAGAATCAATATTATAAAAATGACTATACTGTCCAGGGCAATCTACAGATTCAGTACAATTCCTATCAAATTACCAAGAGCATGTTTTATATAAATAGAACCAAAAAAAATTTTAACTCATATGGAAACCTTAAAGACCCTGAATAGCCTAAGCAATCCTGAGAAGAAAAATGGGGCTGGAGGCATCAAGCTCCCTGATTTCAGAGTATACTACAAAGCTAGAGCAATCAAAACAGTATGGCACTAGCACAGAAAGAGAAATATAGATCAATGGAACAAGGATAAAAAGCCCAGAAATAAACCCATACACCCATGGTCAATCAGTCTGTAACAAAAGAGGTAGGAATATACAATGGAGCAAAGAATCTCTTCAATAAGTGGTGCTGGGAAACCCGAAGAGCTACATGTAAAAGAATTAAATTAGAATATTCTCTTATACCATACACAAAAATAAATTCAAAATGAGTCAAAGACCCAAGTGTGAGGCTGGACACTATAAAATTCCTAGAGAAAAACACAGGCAAAACACTCTTCGACATAAATCACAGCAATATCTTTTTGGAATATCTTTTTGGAAGATTACATTACCCCCTACAGTAATGAAAAGTTAAAAAAAAATAAACAGGATCTAATTAAACTTAAAAGTTTCTGCACAGCAAAGGAAACAAAACAAAAAGACAACCCATAGAATGAATGGGAGAAAATATCTGCAAACAAAGCAACTGTCAAGGGATTAATCTCCAAAATATACAAATAGTTCACACAGCCTTACATTAAAAAAAAAATGCAATCAAAAGATGATAGATGATCTAAATAGTTCTCCAAAGAAGACATACAGGTGGCCAAAAAGCATATAAAAAGATGCTCAACATCACAGTATATGAGAAATGCAAATCAA